ACCTCTGTGGCGGCCCCCCTGCCCGGCGGCCCCCCTGCCCAGCTGCCCCACGGGATTTGCTGGAAAGGGACAGCCAGGTGTGAGTTTGGGAGACTGAGAACTCTGTTATCTGTTTTCTGCTCTCTGGGTGTGAGGATCGAGCGACAAGTCGATAGCTGTCACATGAGCATTTCTGGTGTTTGCCCAGCCGTCCTCCTCATCTGCCGTTCCACGGAAGGGGCCCGGCTCCTGCCCTCCCCTCCCCCTAGCCAGGCTCGCGTCCAGCCCCAGAACAGCCCCCGAACAGCCCCCCTCCGTGTGCACGGGGCGGGGGGCCTCCCTCCTGTTGTTTTTCTAGTGAGCCTTTTCTTCCCGCGAAGTCACACTGACTTCCCAGAGCACCGCGGCTGCCCTCCGGGTTGCCATGGAAACGGAGCCTTCTTTCCGTCCCCCACTCTCTGTTTACCTTGGTCAGGACTGCGGCACTAGCCTGCCCGCGCCGGAGGGGGAGGGCGGTGGGCGGGGGAGAGGAGGAGGGGAACCAGCCGCTCCAAACCAGATCATTCCGGCTCAGAGTGGCGCTTCCCCCTCCCTCAGAGGGCTCTCTAGCTACGGAGGGTGGGCTGCGGGCGGAGGCTCGGGGCCCCGGGGTAGCGTGAGTCGGGGGACGTGCCCGCCAGCTCCCCGCGGCGACCCGCAGGTAGTGCCCCCGGTTACTGGGCCTCTGCCGGGAGCTGGGCAGCTGCTCGCTCCCCAACGATGCCCTAATTGGGGGGCGGCGGCGGCGATGGCCGCTGAGACCCAGCCTCGCTCTGCGCTCTGGCCACGCCGAGGCCCCTGACGTGGGGGGGCCTGCTTCTCCTGTGCCCCGCCCGCGGCGGCCGGAGGGAGCGCCGTGTGTTCTCGGGCTTGCAGATCTCCGCGGCCCTTGAGTAAAACCAACTGTTGGCCAGCTCGACAGAGTCGGCTCGGCCGGCCTCCTGCCCCGGGTGCCCCTTGCTCCTTCCCCTACCAGATGGCAACAGAAATTTCTGGAAGGCCCTGGTCCCTGGTGTAATAACATTCTCCCTCGTGCTTTTTCTAGCTCCTCGTGTTCATTTACTGGGTCCTCAGAAAGGCGCCCTCTACACCAGCCTCTGGCGGCCCTCCCTGTGAGTTGGCTGGGCTGCACGCCATCACGTGAAAGCTCCCTGAGGGCAGGGCCGTAGCCGGCCGAGTCCCCGGCACGGGGCTGGAGCTGTTGGTCACTGCCCCAGAGGGGTGAGCGCCTGCCCCGGGCTTCCCCGCCGGCGCCCCACTCTCTTCCCGAGGGCAGATGTAGCCCGGCGGGCGGTCGGGAGCCGGGGAGTCGGGCACGGTCGCCCCCTCCTGGCGGAGTTCGATCGGCCCCTGTTCCCCGCTAGGGGGAGGCAGAGAAGCCACCCGGCCTGCCTCGGCGACGTCCTGATGCAGGCTCCAGGCCATCTTGCTGTATTGGGAGGAACTCCACTTTGACGGCTCAGCCTGGTGTACAACGAGGCAGAGGCGGACGGCCAGGGCTGCGGGGGTCTCACTCCTGGAGGGGAGGTGGCGCTTCGTGGACCCCATCTCTTCGCGTTCTTAACCATCGACCCCCACCCCCATTTCCCCCCACCGTGATCTCCGTCAGATACTCCTAGCCAGGGGGACGCGGTTCTCCAAACATCCTTCCAGGTGTTCTCTGCCTTCTCACGAAGCACTGGCTGCCTGCAGCCAGGCTCTCCCGGCGGGGGGCGGGGGGCGGGGGGTTGTGACATTTCTAGAGCAGGAAATTTCTCAACTGCAGGCAGGGCCGCCTTTTCAGGGCTTTGCAACCCCCTTGGCAAACCACTTAACTTGGCTTGTCTTGGCCTGCCTATCTGTGAAATGGGGGTGAGAGCTCCCGGTTTACATCCCAACAGCGGTTCGCTGAGGAGAAAATGAACCATGGAAATGCTTGGCGGACAAGAAGGGAGGCAGGGGCTGGGCTCTGCCATCCTGGTGAGACCAGGCAGAGCTGGAGTTCCAGTCCCGAGGCCCCAGGGCACCCCTCGGGTACATGCTCCTCTGAGCAACCTCCAAAGTCAGCATTCTTAGGGGTCCTGTCTTTGTGGATGGCAAGTCTGGCCTCTTCCTTTGGACGGAGTCTGGGGCAGTGCAGGGGGAGCAAGGGGCAGATGTTGCCATCCTGAACCACTGTCTGATCTTGGCTGTTTCAGTGCACACTCTGCCTTTTCCTCCAGGGTGAGGTTTGGGGAGAAAATGGTCCCCTAGACACCTGATGTATCCTTTGCGGTTGGCAGAGCAAATGTTTGCTCCCTTATAATGGTATGGGGGAGATTTTTGAGAACACCCTTGGCAATCACGGGGACAGCCACTTCAGCTCCAATAGCCAGATGGCTTTAGGCGGAAGGTTGAAGAAGGATGAACTGACCAGTAAGGGGACAGACTGAATGACACCTGCTTTCTCCTCATAGTTGCCATCTGCAATACTGCTCTAAAGCTCCTGGCCTGGTGTGAGGCCCGGAAATAGTAAGTGGCCAGCGCTCCCACCTGTCCCTGTCCCTCTCCGTAGCCAGGGTGTGGGCCAGGCTGGTTACTGAGCAGGGCTTGGCATCTTCCTTCCCGCAGCGCTGACTGCTGGGGAGAGGAGTTTGGGCACACTTTGTATTTCAGAACCTGAGAAAAGTGTCTCACTTCTGCACGAGCAACTTGGAGGGCAGACCCCAAGACCAGTGCGGACGGACGGATTTACTGGGTCTGCTTTGTCTGTCACTCTGACCCTCGCCTCCTCTCACTGCGCCATGTTTGTGAAATAAAGAACTCCTGCCTAGGAATAATGTTCTTGCTTGATTTTATGAATGGATGGGATAATGAGGAATAGGCTCTAGGTGACAAGATAAAAACCACACTGAAATGAGAGACTGTTTTTTTTTTTTCTTCTGCTCCATTTCTTTCTTTCCCCTTCCTTCTTTTCTTTTTATTTTTCTGGGAGGCGGGAGGGGGGGACTGTGTATTTTAAAAATTCCCTCCCTCCCTGCACTTTTTTTCTTTTGACTACCTTCCAAGATTGGCATTTAAATCAAAGATTTTCAAATACTAGCCAGACTACAACTGAAATCAGTGGAGAAATTAAAAATACTAATACTTCAGCGCAGCTTTTTAAATCACCCAATCATTTACAATCTGGCTTTTTGGAAAGGACCCAGATTTACAGTATCCTGAAGAAGAGCTAAATTGAAAGACCTGTGAAGGGTTCTGCTTTATAGAGGGAAAAAAACTAACAAAAACCAGGATCATCCTTAAAGAAAATCAGCAGTCCCTGCCACAGCCCCTTACCTCCTCACCAGTCTCACTACTGTTCGCTCTCTGGGCTGGCTTTTTTGATACCTACCTTTACGTCTCTAGTTAATATGCTTTACTGGTTATTGCTTCAATTTGAGACATTCTACAGATGACCTTCCTGCAATGGAAGATGGGGGTTTAGCTCATTTACATCATTCTGCCTCCCCTGCCTCATCCTCTTATATTTAACTCCTTTATTGGTTAACTGTAATTTTAAATAAATATTTTACCTTTATTTCTTGTTTTATCAACTATAGAGAGCGATAATAGTAAATACCTAATAATGCTTACTACATGCCAGCCAGCATTCTAAGTACATCTATCTACTCATTTTAAGCCACACAATGTTATGAAACAGGTTACTATTATTGGCCCTGTCTGAGGGGAAAGTAAGGTCTTTTCACTATTCCTTTAGTGGTTTTCGAAGAGGAAGAGGCGGTAAACACGGGGGGCCAGTCTGCCACCTGTACAGGGTTCTGACAGAACAAGGATTGGGAAGCGTTCATTCTGGCCTTTGCTCTAGCTCCCTGCTGGGTATGACAGTGACAAGTGAGGTAGCAAGGTCTCAGCCATCTCAGCCATCTCAGCCAGCACCAGGCAGCCACTCGGCTGTGGGGCGTGGATTCCACGTGCTGAAAATCAGGTAAATCAGAACCAACGGAGGAGTTTGTTAAACTAATTCACCTACAAAAACAGAATCTTTGGGATTTGGGCCCAGGAACCTGTATTTTTAACAAGCAAGACAGACAGTTTAGAAACCACTGGGTTATAGAGGGGCCCGGCAGCTGGCCTCGTTCTGTCACACACGCTATTTTCGGCACTCTTACTCGGAGCCTGCACTACTGTGGCACTCACCGAGGAACGGCCTGGCTTTTGTAAGCAGACCTCCCACTGCAGTGGGATCAGTGATCTTCATACCAAGATCAAGGTGAAGAACTCACTCAGGTCCAATCTTGCGTGAATGCTCACGTATGATGCTCACCGTTATGCTCCAAACCTTTGGTCATCATCACAGAATGTGAGATCTGAAAGGCACGCCTGCCCCCGACATAAGAGACTGGGGAAAAGCACTGCTGGGAGGAGGGATCCTATTAGAGGGTGAAGTGATGCAAAGCAGAGGTTCTGCAGAGGGAAGCATGTGGAAAACCAAAGCCGGAACTGGGAACTGTGGTTTCATCCCCCGGGGACCCCTGTGGAGGGCTCAGCTCCTCCTGGGCTTTTCCCTTGAATCATAAAGACAGCCGTGACTCTGTATATAAAGGTTCACATTTTCCCGTTCAAGTCTCTGTGGCTCCTCCAACCCTTCAGGAAAGTGTTGATACATCCATCCAAACTTGTCTAGTGGTAGTTTGGGGACTATATGAGATGAGGCAGTAAGGGGGAGTGTGACCTGTGCCCCACAGTCACACCCTTGCTGATGTCCTGGAGGGACCACTGTTCCGTTGAAGGGACTATGGTGTGTCCAGGAGTTCCAGATGGTAAACGGAGAGGAGCCCACAGTGGGTGAGGGTGGAAGGTGGACGACCCACAGATACTGTAGAGAAACATGAACCCGGTCGGGTGAAAAAGGGGGCGGCAGAGGTAGGTGGGACTGATACTTAGGTCACATAGGTGAGCTCACATACACAGAAATTACCATCAGACAATCACGGTAGCCTTGAACCAAACAGATTTGGATAAGATTTATTGATCAGATTGTTTTAGAAAACCAACAGCAAAACACTGACAAGGTACATAAATACAGATTGGACATTTTAGGGTAAATTCACTATATTTCCTACTTGCTTGTAGGAAACCAGGTAAGGTGGAAAAGCTGTCCTGATCATACAGCATGCACACCAAACTGCAAAAGGACTTCCACACTATTTAACAGGACTGTGGCAATAGCTTTATAGTAAGGCAAGCATCGTGTGTGGCCTAAGCATACCCTGTACGAAGAGCTGAGCCCAGGCTCACCCTCAGAGACTGTGTGAGAGGTTTCCCTTTCTTGCCTAGGTTCTTCCAGGAAATCCTCATTGGCAGGTGCCTTTGCAGGGAAATACCTGGTGCTGTCCCTGCTCAGACTCTGTACAAGGTAGTGGCTTTAGAGAAAGTCAGTGTATTTCTGATGCCCCCTCTGTATTCTAATGTGCAACTAGTACAATAGCAATTACTAAGCTTGGTAAAACTGCCTCTGACTCACCCTGTACACTGACAAAGCAGGGCCTTTTAAAAAAAATCTTCTAAAAATTGAAAAAAATAAAAAATATGAAAATTATACTAAAAAGATGGCACCACTTTTGAAGCACAACTCAGAACTTCTTTTCATGACACCAGACAAGAAGGGTTGCTTTCCACCGAATCTAACGACCTCAGAAGGGCAACGCCACTGCTAGGCGTGATCTGGTGGCGACGCTTGCGGAGGCTGTAGGACTCTGCTGAGCGTACATCAGGCCCCGTCACGCTCCCAGAGTCCTGAGGTGTTTGGGGAACCAAAACAATTTAGGCTAATGGGGACAGTTTTTGGAGCTTATGATCACAAGACCATAAACCCTCATCCATCCTGGAGCTCAATGCCAGACAATGAAGAATAAGGAAAATGGCTTTTTGTGCTACATCAGAGTGCCAACAGGTAGGCAATCAGTAACCTGTGCCATGTTCTACACAGCTGTAAGACCACCGAAAGACAAAGTGGTTGTACAGGATTAAGACAACGTAGTCTTCGAGAATAATTCAACCTTTCCTACGTGCCAAGCAATATGGCTGGAAATGGTACTTCCAAAGGAAAAAATAGGCTCCTGCCAGAACAGTGGGAAATGAGTATCTGTCAAGAGCCAAAGTGATGTGTTTAAACAATGGGCTTTCCTCTGCATCACACACTGCTTTTTCTTCCCATAGGTGCTAAGAGTTCTTTGGGGGTTAGAGGACAGATAGCCTAGAACTCAGGGCAGGAAACTACGCCAAAGCAGAGGAGTGAAGGATAACATCTAAACTCAGGATTACCACTGGTAGGTCCTAATGTCAGCATTCAACAGCTGCCAGCAGCTTGACCAATTACAGCTCACCAAGCTGCTGCTATGTCTGCTGGTTTCTAACCCTCCCATGATTCTTCCTTTTCCATTTCTAACTATTCATTAGCCGCATCCATTAAAAAGGAGGTGCTTATGGGAAAGGAGTAAGAAGGGAAAACTATATATGAGTCATTGTTTGAAAGGAAAGTTGAAATTGATTATCTATGGATTTCAATTATCTGTGCTTTACACTTGCTATACAGGGTAACCAAAGGTCACTGTTAATATATCTTTGCTTAGAAATGTTAATGTTTATTATATTTTTAAATCTAGCTATGTAACAGACATGAATAGTTCAGCGCAAAGTTTTACATCATGTCAGTGGAAAGGGTTTCAGTTTGGCCCCTGAAGAATAGTTAAAATTTCCATCTACTCTATATCGTTCTATAGGTTTTTCCAGGATGTGGAAAATACTTTATTAAATTAAGAAAGCATGATTTTCTTTACTTAAAGTATGACATTCACAGATAAATTATTATATACACGGGAGAACTGATAGTGTTAAATATTAGGTTTTAATTCTCCATTTAGGAAACTCTCACAGATAGACTTCCTTGTTCCTGGGCAAAGAAATGTAGGCAGATATGCAAACATAAGATAGTACAAAGAAGACTGGGGAAAGTCTCAGTTCTAACAAACCCAAGGATTGGAATAAGAAAATGTAGACTTGAAAATCCAGCTTTGCCAAGAATTGGCTTAAGCGAGCCGATCACATCCCAAATTCTGGGTATAGTTTAACTCTAAAGTAATGAGCTGGCTTCCCCAAGACAGATACAAGAAAGTCGTCTACCTGCTTTATAGTCATACCCTATATAGAATCTGTATATACCACGTGTTTCTTTATATTGCACTTAAGTTACAGGACTGCAGTAGATGGCTGGGAGCACCTCAAAGAGGCAGAGAAGCAGCAGGCATAAACTTCCTAAGTCAAGTAACAGTGTCAGGAATTCAGAGTTAAAGTTAAAGAATAACTTTAAAAGCTGGTTATAGATATGCTAAAATGCCTGATGACCCCTAGTCATCGACATTTAAGTCATCATACACACAGTCTCATTTGGCATCCAGAACATGTACATAATGTATAGTTCTACAGCACTCAGATTCGGTCATACTACAGTATTTTCACTAGTATTATATTAAAAGAAGACACTTTAGACCAAAGATATATACTTTTATGAAAACGTCATATGCAAGGTCTTGGATGTCAGGCCTCCAAAGTCTACCTCAAAGTCAGCCCTCAGAAGGCTTTAAAAAGGATGCTGTCAAGTGTAGATTATACCAAACTGTCTTTTTTCCTCTCTGGTGTAGAAAAGCCAAACACCGACTTGTATCTCAGGAACCATGGAAAGAGAAGCACAGAGGCTGAGCGTTCAGTCTTTGGTCCCTATATAAATCCATGACAAGAAGCCTTTCATCACCCGAGACAGCATGACTTGTTTAATTCTGGACATATTTCCCCCAGTAATCCAGAGACCAGGCTGGAGTCATGCAGCAAAGCTTTGTTGTGAACTCACAGGGCTGGTCAGACTGACTTGCTCTGGAGAGAACTCCTCATTGGAACAAGCCTAGCAGTGGGTGGTAAGTTAAATGCCAAACAGACAGATCATGGCAAGATAGGGGTGGGACCTCTAGCAGAGTTCCTCCTTTCTCTGCCTATCCCCCACGCCCCTCACTCCCCACGAAAGGACCCAAATTCACATATGAATAGTTATTACAAAACCTTGCAAACACAGGCACTCAACCCAATACGGACAGGATGTTATAAAAAGGCCTGCAAGTTAGGAGTTCAAGTCTAGAGGCTGCAGTATAGTATTCTCTTCCCCAGAACTGAACACTAGATGGTATCTTTTTAGCCATAACTCAAAGGTGATTTTAAATCCACACGTGAGCTAAAGATATCCCTTCTGGGATAAAGGAAAAAGAGTAACTTTAAACGCTAAGCAAAAAAGAGGCACTTAAAGAAAAAATGCGTCCCGCGTCTCCCATGTGAGTCTCCTGCTGTGAGGTTAGCCACGGGATGATCAGCACCACGTGCCTGCACCACCTGCCCTGCACCTGTGTGCTCCCCTCTCGCCGACCTGCTGAACTACTCCCGCAGCCTGATGGCAAAGCAAGGGAAAATTTAGGGTATTTCCTCCTCAGAATTAAAAATCAACACAAAACAAACCAGAACTAGAATTTCACACTAAAAAGTGAATGATTCTCAGTTTCATTCCTTCCTCGTGCTAGTTTTTAAGATGATGCTTAGTTCTTTGGGAAGGGTGACCTCTTGTTTTTCTCCCAAGACCTTTTATCCATTTACTAGACAATTACAGCACCATGCACATGAAAGCAGACAGAAAAGGAGGCAATAAGCTAAGAGAAAAATCAAGGGCCAACTGACTTTCTAGAGATAAAACCCACTGCCTAAGAAAATAGCAGGTGCACGGCCCAGGTTTAGAAAAGAAACAAGTTCTAAAAGGAAACAGTCAATGTGACAGTCAAAGCCCACAGCTCAGAGCAGAAGCCCCCTTCCCTGCTCTTCTCTGGCCTCTCACGGGCTTATGTGTCTGTCCTACAGCATGTGTGCCATACATTTCGGTTCTACGATTCCCCGTGAAGAAGTAAGAAGTCAAAGAGATACTTGAAACCATTAATAAGAATAACATTTCAAAACTGCTCAAACGAAGCACTTTGACCACCTTAAGTTTCTTGATTTGAAGTGTGCTTGGTGTCATAATTTCTAAGATCAACAATAAACAGCACAACTATGACAACACATAAGTCTTTTGACAAAGCCATGGTCAACTCTGAGCATTGCTGGCACCATAAGGATGAGAAAAGATATCACTAATCGAGAGCTGCTGAGCTGCTTAAATTCCCTCCAAAGTCAAAATTAGGCTTGGGTATCTCTGCAGCAAGATGTCAACCACTGCCACCATTAGAACCAGCTACTCAGATGTACCTTGGAAAATAGTAAGTTAAACATCTAGCTTTACATACAATCTCCAAGATTCTCAAGGTTAGCCTTCTTGTTCTATCCCCAAAATATCTTGTTGTTGTAGCAAGATTTTTAATTTTTTAATTTTATTTTTGTTTTCATTGACGATGTTACTTTAATTTATAGAGCACTGGCTGACATGGTTATATGATCAAAGTTCCTCTAAGAAACTCTTATCTTGATTCATAATATTATTAGGTATTTTCAGACTCTCCCTCAATTCCATCAAGGAAAAGGGAGTATGTGAGTATGTGTATGTGTGTATATGTATTGGGGTGGGAGGGAGAGAAGCAAAGAAAGAAGCACAAGGGAAAGTGAGATTCTATAAACTTAAAACCAATGTACAGAAAGGCATCTGATGTATTTTCTGAATAAGGCCTTGATCAGGGTAACCAATCCTCTTTGTAGCACATTCTACACTGCCCATAAATAAAGGAGTCTCTTTAAATTAACATTTCCAGTATCAACGAACAGTCCAGAAATCCTCATTTCAAGCGCTCGATGAGTCCCTGTGTGAGTCCAAGGTGCAGAAGCTGTGTTCGGGAGAGGTTGGCTAGGTTCGGGAAGGCCGCAAGCAGCTTCTCCCATGCCAGTTCCAGCAAGCTAGGCACCACCAGCCAGATCTTAAACAATGAGCCAGTCCGTTTGTTTTCGTGGATGTTCACCACTCCTCCGTGAATGTACATGCAACCAGCCTATGAACAAATGGCAGTCAAAGAGGACAAATTCAAATGGGAGAGAAACAGATACTAAGGCTGAAGAGTCAGGAAAAATAATTCATAGTAGGCTGAACTGAGATGAAGTGAAACAAAATATTTCTCATTGATGCCAACACAGTGCAGGGATCAAGACTGGTTTAAATACTAAATGAGCTCGTAAAGGGAAAAACTGTAGTTTTGTTTTGTTTTGTTTTGTTTTTTACTTCAACAAACATTAAAGTATACATTGTGCTCAAGACTGGGAATACCAAAATGAAAATCAAGGTTTTTGCATTCAAAAAAATTAGTAGAATCTTCAATAACATGGCATCGTGGGATAAATCTATATCTGCCCTCTCAGGAAACCCTTTTGATACCACTGCCAGGGCCTGAATGCCACAACGTAGCACTCCTCTTACATTTATGCTGCTCTCTTAAGTTTGTACATGATGTGTTTTCTCCCCTTTTTTCAGAAAAAGAACTAGCTCTGGAAGAACATTTTTAAAACACATTCTTTTCTTTTTTTTAAGATTTTTATTTATTGAGTTTTAGAGAGAGGGGAAGGGAGTGAGAGAGGGAGAGAAACATGTGAGAGATACATCAGTTGCCTCTCACACGCCCCCAACTGCGGACCTGGCCCGCAACCTAGACATGTGCCCTGCTTGGGAACTGAACCAGCGACCTTTCAATTTGTAGGCTGGCACTCAATCCACTGAGCCACACCAGCCAGGACTGAAAACACATTCTTAATCCAAGATTCGCTAATATCAGAATCTCTTTTTCTTAGTAATATTCCCTAAAAAGATTTTCTTGACATCTACAACTATGTAAGAAAGATATGAAAATAAAAGCTCACCGGTGTAACAGCTGCACAGTGAAAATAAACAGGCTCTGGCATGGTAGCTGGGAGCTTTACCCATTGAAAAGTCTGCAGATTCAATTTCCAGATATCTCCCAGGATCACTTCTCCATTATAGCCCCCACAAATAAACACATCTATCAAAAAAAGAGAAAGCCAAGATCACACAAAGAAAATGAGCCACAGCTACAGCACGTTTTGTAATAGCGCACGGGGTTAGCTGACTTGGCCCCAGTTCAGTTGACTCCCCAAACTGTAGAGGACTTCAGCTGGGCAGGCATCTCATGCCGCTGTCTTGTGCCTCAGTAGAGTTCACACATTATGCTGGGATCTTTGCTAGGACTAAGGATGCAAACCTCTAAGGAGGCTTCTAGGTGCAAGGCATAGAATGTGAATGAGTGAGAAGGTCCAGGGAAAAGACACAAACAGAGGTGCCTGTGCTCCAGAGGGGAAGATGGCAATGTGGTGGCCGCTGATCACATCACGCAGGATTTAAGGTCAGCAATGGCCAGATCTTCCCATTTTTTCAAGAGAACTTAGAAATCTGGATCTCTTTAAAAGTGAAATAGTTTGATGTTTAAGTGTTAGCCACTAATTCAAAAAAATATACACGTTAGCCAAATAAAACACATCTGCAGACCACCAGTTTGCGAACTCTTCCTTTAAACACTGTCCTAGAAAGGGTCTGCGTTTATCTGCCCATAGACATGAATGTTACATAGACATCTAACCTGAGGAGAGACATTTATTGAAATGTTCAGTTTGGGGCCACAAAAGAAGCTCTTCCAAGCCTTCTTCAGTTGAAAAAGGACAGTTTGAAGCATTTGATGTGTATTGTTATTTACATCAGAAAAAAAAGACTTTCCCAAAATCAAAGATTTTGGTTGTCATTTTGTTTTTGTAAATTCAGTTAGTTGTAATTAATTAGATAACTTGTAACAAAGGTTATGTGCCCAGAACTAAATGCCCAGAAGTAAAGCTGAATTCTGTTTGTATGGTGCCTGGTCTCAAAGAAATCAAATTAATAGATGTCTTAATTCAGATCTAGATCAAGTTTAAGCCAATACTTAATTAAACTATAAAATACACAGGAAACCTTTTTGGCTAGGGCTCAAGGAAAGCACAACTCCATTCTCAGAGAGGCCGAGCTGAACAACGCCACTATCTATAAATCTCATCCAAAAGCAGAAGCGTAATAAAAAGAACCTCTGTACTAGAGATGGCAGCAGAGTCCTGGTAAAAATCCAAACTAAGCCGCTGAAAGGATACAGGCTATCAAACTCAGTTATATACAACTTCCTCCCAGAAAAAAATTTAAGGTGCTACATCAAACTATAAAATAAGCTGTAAATTAAAAGACAGAAAGGTTATCCAAAGAGGAGTCATTTATCACACTTAGATAAAGTAGCTGCAGCTGCTTTCTGAAGCCATACAATGCCTTTGTTGTAATATGGCCAAAGAATGAACTAAGGGTTCTAGTTAGCATCAGACAGAGAACAGAACGAACTTTAAGAACTAACATTCTCAAGGTGTTATTACAATTTTAATGCAATGTTCACTGAGGTGTTTCTACTGCATGTCAAGATTATTATTATTCCCCACCATAACTGCCAACATCAGCCGAGGTGGAGTGCTGAAAATCAGGTGGTACAATAAAGGTTATTTGCCATCAATTTTCAACTTCTCTGATAACTGAAGGACCCCAAAGATACTAGTTTACTTTATAAAAATTGCTGAGAGGGGCATAACTTTATGGATTTCCCTTCAAGTTGAAACTATAAGAAATACACTCTTTCCAAATGATAGCCTCTTTTAGGGAGCTAGCATTAAGAAATAAGACATTCTCAGTATACACAACTACAAAAATGGAAAGAGAAAGTTATTTAGAATCTTACCATTTTTTATTTGAACACAACTGTGACATCTTCGGGCTGCAGGGAAACCTGCCAGACACATAAACACAGAAATTCCTTATTCACAGAAAGACTGGGAATACCATTGATAATGACATAGCAAAAGATATACTATGAGTAACTCACTTAAAATAATCCCTTTGTTGCATTCAGTAAACACTGACTAGCCCTTCCAATCCTTCCTAATTTCACACTAACATAAAGCCATTAGAAGTCTCATAGTGGTACAATGTTACAGTACCAGGAAAATCAAGTGGGGTGGCAGGGGTCAGGGGTTATTAGTGGATTTCCCAAGCCCTCTTATCCACAGACAGGAAGGTCTTGATTTAAGTACCTATTTCTTATCCCACCCATATTTCCCAACTTCCACAGAATTCCATGGAAGAATTAAAAAATCTCTGCTCACATGGAAACATGGAACAGACTGGCAGCAGCCAGAGGGGAGGGTGAAGGGGGATTATGGTGGAAGGGGAAGGGACTAGTCAAAGAACATGTATGAATGACCCATGGACACGGACAATGGTGCGGGGACTGACTGTGGGAGAGGGAGGTGGGCTGGGTGGAAGAGGGCAAAGGGGGAAAATTTGGGACAACGGTAATAGAATAACAACTTAAAAAAATTAAGTCTCTGCTCAATTGAAGAAGAAAAAAGAAAAACTGAGCTAAGGAATACAAGTAATTTCTAATACCAGTTCAACAGATATTTTACTTGTCATATAACTCAAAAAATTAATTTTCCCTTTTAAAACAACTAAAAGTATAAAATACATTTGTTAAAGATAAATGAATGAGTATTATAAATTTACCTATTTTTTCATGGGGTTTTGTTGCAATTTCTTCCCATGCATTTGTTTCAAGGTTGTATGCATGGATCTTGGAGAGAAAAAAAAGATACACAAACAATTTCAGCTAGACTGAAAACTGAATTTTTAACAACAACCTATACAAACATATAGCTTGCTTGAAAAGTCTTCTTTGCCTTTGTTTTTATCTGGTCTTTGCTAATTTTAACATAAGATAAAATATTAAATGAAACATGAAAATTAAGCACAGATATGATCTCAATATTTAAAAATCATAGAAAAATGAAGTAAAATATTGGAATTCTGAAATTTTCACATTTTCTACATTATCATTTTCAAAATGAATATTATAATTTTCAAATTGATTTTAGAGAGAGGAGGGAGAGAGGGAAGAGGAGAGACAGAGAGAGAGAGAAACAGCAATCTGTTGTTCCACTTATTTATGCATTCATTGGTTGATTTTTGTATGTGCCCTGACTGGGGATTATACCTGCAACCTCGGTGTATCAGATGACACTCTAACCAACTAAGCTGCCTGGCCAGGGCCAATATGCATCATTTTTGTAACAGAAAAAAGCAGGTGTTGGTAAGAAACACAGGAAATACAGTTTCAGCCAAACTCGAAAAAGACCATTAAGGTTCCAAAGCAGACCAGGAGCTCTGTAGCCTACTCTAGGTTTCCCTTGGGGTATGTGCATTTAGAAATGCTGCAGGGATGGGTGAATAAAAGCCCTTCAGAGCACAGCTTTCTAAAGTTAATGACACATAGCTCTAATAATACCTGTTCTTTTTAGATGCAAAGCACTGACCATGAGAGGGATGTGACATTCTGAGAATCCTGGTTCCCATTCTAATTAGTTGCTCCATTCAAGCTACTATATCTTCTTTTTAGTCACTTTCCTCATCCAGTATAAGGGGATAATTTTCTTAAAGTATATTCAATGTGTATGCAACTGTCAACTGGAGAGCATATTGGGGCACAGAGTTCAACCTTACACAACAAAGAGCATGGAACATAAAACAGATGCTAATGAAGAACTTTTTAAAAAATTAAAATACCTAAAGTAACACAATCATCTTGCTTAGCATAGTACATGCCTCCCTCTGTACTTCTCCCTCTCTTTAAAACGCACACACACGCACGCACAAACGCACCTTGTTTAAGGAATAAGCTGTCCAGGAAGTACCACCTCCCAAGATGTAAATCCTCTGCCCATCATGTGCAATTTCATGTCTGTATCTGAAATACACAATAAAATGTTTATAATTAAGTGAGAAATGATCTAAGATTTAGCCACAAATTTTTTTATTGGATCATTTATAATAATAAATTATTAGAAATAACCGAAGTGTTTAATAATAGTGAATTGGTTAAATAATTATAAAATATAAATAAAATAGATTAGTATGTAACCAGTAAGAATGCCAGCATACAAAATGATTAATATATTGAGAAGTTGTTTTAACAGTATATAAAAGCAGATAGGCGATAATTTCATTAAAATTTTATAGATACATAAATATGCAAAAAAATGATTATAAGGTTACATTGAAAAATGTTAACTCTGGTTATCTCTGAGTTTAGATTTTGTTTTTTATTTCTGCCCCACCCAACTAACAGGCCTGCCCAAGCTGCTTTTCCATATGAATGGCTGGTCTTGGCTCATGCTTCACAACTTCCTAAATCCTCTCAAACAAGCAACAGCTGGCCTCCTCAGTGAGCTGCAGGCCCGGCACTAGGAGCAGGCAGCCTAGATTCACAGCTTGGCTTCACCTGGGAATCTCCAAGCCCAGCACAAATAGCAGCCATTTCAGATTGCTTTATAGCTCAGGCAGGGTGGCCCCCAGGAAGACACAGGTGGGGGCTGACCTTGGCCTACACAACCCAGGAAACCCCAGGGCCAGCACACCCAGTGGGCAGCTTTGGACAACCACCCTGCCCCTGCACAGCTGATCCTCCATGGAGGGCAGAGGTTGGTGGTCAGTGGTCATAGCCAGTCCTTGCAGGTGACAGGCCTGGATAAATCCTTCCCATTGATCTGCCAACAGCAACCAAGGCTCAACTATAAGAGGAGGTGTATTCAGCCCACATGAATGGTGTACCTCGAGTACCCAGCTTGGGTGATACAGGAGGTTGGGCCACTGGATCCTACAGGTCACCTACTACATTAGGCCACACCAAGGCATGAAGTCAAAGCAGCTCTACCTAATACATAGAAACAAACACAGAGAGGCTGCCAAAATGAGGAGACAAATAAACCTGGCCCAAATTAAAGAATATATCAAAACTCTGGGAAAAAAAGCTAAATGAAATGAAGATAAGCAATCTATCAGACACAGAGTTCCAAACACTGGTTATAAGGATGCTCAAGGAACTCAGTAAGCACCTCAGCAGCATAAAAAATATCCAGTCAGAAACAAAGGATACACTAATTGAAATAAAGAACAACTTACAGAAACAACAGTAGAGTGGATAAAGCCCTGAATCAAGTGAATGATTTGGAACAGAAGAAAAAAACAATCGATCAGAATGACAAGAATAAAAAGAATCCAAAAAAATAAGGAGAGTGTAAGCAACCTCTGGGACAAGATCAGAATGACAAGAATAAAAAGAATCCAAAAAAATAAGGAGAGTGTAAGCAACCTCTGGGACAACTTCAAGCATCTAACATTCACATCGTAGGGGTCCCAGAAGGAGAAGAAAAAGCATGAAATTGGAAATCTATCTGGAAAAATAGTGAAAGAAATCTCCCCTAATTTGGTGAAGGAAATAGACATGCAAGTCCAGGAAGCACAGAGAGTCCCAAACAAGATGGAAGCAAAGAGGCCCACTCCAAGACACATCATAATTAAAATACCAAAGGTTAAAGATAAAGAGAGACTCTTAAAAGCAGCAAGAGAAAAGAAGTTAGTTACCTACGGGTATACCCATAGGACTGTCAGCTTATTTCTCAAAAGAAACTTTGCAGGCTAGAAAGGATTGGGAAGAAATATTCAAAGTCATAAAAAGCAGAGACCTACAACCAAGATTGTTCTACCTAGCAAAGCTATCATTTAGAATCAAAGGGCAGATAAAGAGCTTCCCAGACAAGGAAAAACTAAAGGAGTTCATCATCACCAAACCATTATTATATGAAATGTTAAAAGGACTTATTTAAGAAAAAGAAGCTCAAAACCATGAACAATAAAATGGCAACACCTACCTACCAACAACTGAATCTAAAAATCAAAATAAACAACGAAGAGCAGGGACAGAATCATAGGTACAGAGAGTGTTTTGATGGTGCCAGATGGGAGGGAGGTCTGGGGGAATGGGTGAAGAGGTGAGGGGATTAAGAAGTACAAATTGATAGTCACAGAATAGCCATGGAGATGTAAAATACAGTATAGGAAATGGAGTAGCCAAAGAACTTACACATATGACCCATGGACATGAACAATGGTGTAGGGATTGCCTGAGGGAATATGGGGTGCTGGATGGAGGAGGGCAAAGCAGTAAAATCAGGACAATCGTAATAGCATAACCAATAAAATATAACTTTAAAAAATGCTTTGAAAACTTATTTCCTCTTTTTCCTGAAGGCCCTAGTGCTGATAAAATAAATTATATCAAAATTATTCCAGTAACAGTCCATCTCCCAAGCCCTCTCATGGTAGTCTGCAATAGTCAGCCCAGTATAATATGTTATACTACAGTAAGGATAGAGTCTTCCTCAGCAACTACATACCATTTTGTTTAAAGACAACTAATAGATCTTGGATTAGTCTATCAGGATGATTTTAAAAGTTGTTTACTATCTTTGCTTTTAAACTAGAGGGCAAAAGATCTCACTAAGTTTTCCAGTGGGTTTAATTCTAAGAGGCAATTGCTATTAGGAAAGAAAGGTGAAAGATCAAGAACTTACTAGAAGGCAACTAGAGAGAATTATGTGATGCTCAAGTGTTTTACAAAGCAATTAAAATGAAAAACCCTCCACCCAACCATCCTCTCTCCCTCTCTCCTTCCCTTTCCTCCTCCTTCCAGCCTATCCATCCATCCAACCAAATTTCACTGAGTACAACTATAGGCATGGCACTAAGCCCTGTCCTGGGGATACAGCTGTGCATAAATGAGCCAAAGAATCCTAATAAGCAAGTTAAGAAAGGGAATAAAAAAAATAACCAGAAAGTAATACTTTCGCCTGTCACATGCAAGTTATTTACAATTGCTGCCATTGGTTTCCTCTTCAAAGTGTTACTATCTTCCTAATGCAGAAAAACTGAAATATAAGAGGACATACCGGTAACATGCAAAAAACATTCTATAGTTCAGAGTGAAATATTCCTTTACCAGGAGACCCTTCTTTAATACTGAATGGGAATCTAACAACCAGTTAGCTATTTTAACCAGGCCAAACAGTTTTCTCAAACCATATTACCAATATTGTGAAAAAAGTCAAATCTTAGGAGGAAGGAATAAATATGCTTTAATCCTAGAACCTCACCTCTCTTCTGGTAGATCACAGGACAAGTTGTTTGGTTTCAGCTGTGTCCACTCTCTGGTATTAAGATCTAATTTGTGCAGGTCTGTGCTGTAAATATAGCCAGTTGTCCCTCCAAAGACATACAGGGAGCCATTGATGATAGCCATGGCCTGCAAAGGAGGAAAAGTGAGCAAGACTGACTCGTTAGCACTCGATTAAAGAATGTAACCTTATTAGGTACCCCCAAATCAAGTTTCATGAAATTCTCTGTATTTTTTAACACTTGAAAATACCAGACCCTTAAAAGACTAAAGATTTTAGAGAACACAGATTATTTTTAGAAAGGTAAAGTTATGCTCAACTGGAAAGCAAGTTCTACCTTGGCAAGGGGGTTAGATAATCCTTGGGGCTTCCAGCCAATGAAACAATGTACAAATCATGGACACGAGCATTTCTTGTCTTTCTAAACAGTCTGAAGAAAAATGCTCTCAAGAAAAAGGAGGAGACATGAAAATATGCCACCAGAATCTCTTAGGAAAGATCTAGAGTTGGGAGTCAGCTCCCCAAATTTGATGTTTTCCACCAGACTCTTCTTCAAAGTAAGTGTAGCTATTGTTATGCTCACTTCTTAAAGTCTAAATGCCTCCTGTTGTGGGATATAGAGTTAGTTATCCAGTATGTTATCCAGGAACTCTACATATAGTTCCGAAGCACTTTATCAGTACTGATGCCAGCCAGTTCAGTAAGAAACCAAAGATCGGTTGTTTTAAGTTTAGCCCATTATTCTCAAAGGGCCTCTTAAGGTATGGTGGGTTGCACCCTATCTTTTTGGATACAACTTTCCAAACCGAGGTTTGAAGTACTGGATTCCAACTGGAAATTAATCTCTGCAAAATCTGTTTTAGCTCAGATGTTAGGTGCAGGGATCACCTACTCTGCTATTTAGGTCAGAAAGCTCTTCAGAGAATCCTATCACTCTAAAGATGACAGGACCCAGACCATACGTGGCCCAGTCTCTTCTTGGGGGTAGGAGTGGAGGTGGGCTGGGGTCCTGCCATTTAAAAAACTTCCATACAAGTCTAGATCATAATCCTAAATTGGATTAGAAATAAAGAGTGGGGGTAAAAAGGAAAGAAAAAGGCAAGATACCAGATTTAAAAGTTCAAATTTCGTATCAGAACTAAAATATCAAATATTAACCACAATAAATTTACTCTCCATTTTAAAAATTGGTAGTAATATAAAGATTCTGACATTGTTTGTCCCCAGAACTAGATGAATCCGAATATATCCACCATGACCAGCCATGGATTGGTACCTGTCCATATATACGACTGGGTTTCTTCCCCCGACAGCTGAGTAAAGCCCATCTCTTATACTTCACATTACAGACATGGACATCATTGCCGTTGCTCTCACCAAACGGGATGCCTGTACCTCCAAACACTAACAGGTTGTTTCCATGCAGCACAACTGGGGAAGAAGCACAAATTCCATTTATGTACTAGCTACCTGAATGTGTTCACACATAAAGCCAGAATATCTGAGAAACTAAAAAATGTCTGCTTACATGATCTCAGAAGACAGCTCAAACCACTGACATCTAAAAAAGTTCTGTAGAAGAATGTCTAATTCACGCATCTAGTTTGGTATGTGCCAAGTATTCAGTACATATTTGTGGAATTAATGAAATACTCTGCATAAGAACACTGAACGGTATGAACTGCAGTACACCACTACCTTTCAAGACAGATCAAGTATACAGCAAAGCAGAGGAAAATGAAGTATCATCTTTGCCTTAGCAAAGACCCCGCAGGACTCAGGATGAAGAGGTAAAAGAATCACTTTTTTTGCCAGGGGGATGATCTTAACATTTTAAATTATGACTTCAGTTACCTCAATCTTCCCCCAGATAAAAAGAAACACCAAAAGAAACACAATTTATATTTGGTGGTCTTCCTCCATTCCTGCCGCGCGACACACCCCCCCACCACCACCCACTCTTCTTTCCTTCTCTAATGGCAAATACTCTCAAAACAGTGTTACTGTATTATTTCCATGGCATTTTTTTTTACCAAGCCTTCAATTGATATAGTGTAAGAGACAAGAGCATGGGCTCTGGAGCCAGCAAGAACTAGGTTTAAATTCCCGTGTGATCTAGGAAAGTTATTTAATCTCTCTAAATTAATCTTCACAATAACCCTGTGAGGTAGGAATTATTATTATCATCTCCATTTTTATAAATGATGCAACAGAAGTGGTAAGTGGTTTAAATTACTTGTTGAAGGTTCCGAAAAGGAACCTTGCCAAGCCAGGACTCAATCCCAGGCAGTCTGGCTCCAGAGCCTGCACGCTTAGCCACTACCACAGGGCCTCTCTGAAGCCTGTTTCCTCATTTGTACAATGGCAATAATGCCAACACCTGCATTGTAGGGATGTTATGAGAATTAAATTGATCCCATGTGTGAAGTACTTTACTCAATAACTAGTATCATTGTTATAAACCCCATTCGTTGATCTTCTACATTTTCTCTAGTATATATATGATACTTTATGTTGAACCTTCTGAGATATCATTAATCCCATTTTACGGCTAAGGAACTTGAAGCTAAAAACCATCTGGGAAGCAGCGGTACACAGCTAAGTTCAAACTCGGGACCATGCAACTCCCAAGTGATTCTGATTTACCACGCTATTGCCATCGTAAAAAGTCTATCCACTAACAGGGTTGGATCATATTACAGTGTTATTATAAAATACTAACAAAGAACATGTGACATTGAACCGGACCTCTCAGACATTTCAAAAAGTCAAAAGTTCAGAACTGCTTGCACTCACGTGACATAGATGCCAATTCCCGGGGCATGTACCCATCTGTGCCCATCTGGTGCCATACTCCTGTAGCAAAATGATACCGCCAAAGCTCCCTGAAGAGAGGATAGTCTTCGTTATCGGGCCCTCCTGATTCATCATAATCTGGGTTATAACCTCCAAACACATACAGATTGGTATTATCTGCCACACAGCGATGCCCACTTCGTGCTGGTGGAGGTCTGTGGCCTAGGAGAGAAGAGCACAGTTTTCCACAGATGGCCCAGCAGATCAGAAGCACAAAGTTTGGTTGGCAATCTTTTTAGCTTTAAAAGGGGATCAGGGAAGATTTATAACATGGATGTATTATTTATTTGCTTAGGTTATTTTATACATTCACACACACTACTTAGAGATTTTAAGGAGCTGGTCTCCATTTCTATTTCATATGACTATTTTCAGATTTTGATAGCTGTAAAAAGATTTTTCCCAAGGGAGGCAAAATAGCATTATCAACTCAGGAGAATGAATGACTTAGAATTTTCAAGAAAAGAAGGAGAAGGGGTTTAATAATCCAAAAGCTAAAAGGACAAATTTTCTTATTTCCTTAGGGGTGGAAAAAAACACAGGCCAACTAAATTAAACTGAAAATATTAGAAAACTACATAAATATAATCACAAATGTAAATGAGTCATGTATAAATAAAAATACACACACATAAAGCCTATGATTTTTCCATAATCTAAAATAATACACTTAATTTTAAAAAACTGGTTTTCAAAGCGTTATAGCAAAATGTAGAATTTAAATACTGTGCCCGGCATTATGTCAGTTAACAAAAAATTTCCTATATTTATCTCAAAGAGCTCTGAGTGAGAGCTCTATACTCAGAAAAGCTATTTCTACAATTTATATTTGAAAGCTTTCTGAAGTTTAAATTATGTCAACCAGTTCACTAAAAATTATTTTAGGGTTATTTTAGAGTAAAAAAAATTCCTAAACTTTACATTATTTCTATTATCCTCATAATTTTTATGCCAGTCTACACAAACCCTTACATAGCTGCAAAACCAAAGATGTTTCAACATAAATTGGAGAAAATAAGAAACTACTACAGTTGACTGTTACCCTAAAGTCTTATCTACATTCATATGTTAAGAGTAGATACTAGTATAGTTCATTAATATTTAGGACAATTAATGTTCATTAATATTTAAAACACCTAATAAACATCTATTATATAAATAAACATTTATTACCAACCTAACACAGACCTTATATATTTATTTTTAAAATCATAATTCCACTTGCTATGGTATGCTTTTAAACAAGAACTGAAAAGAAATTGCACAGATCTAGAGAAACTAAAAAACAAACCAACCATGAAGCACTGAATCACTCAAGTCCAACCTATCAGTTCTGTTTGAGAGTCTTCAATGGTTCCTTACTGCTCAAGTACAAAGCCCTCAACCATCAATTTAGAGCCTTTCAAGACATAGTCTTGTCCCAATCTCTCACACTCCTGTCTGTTTAAATTTATCTCTGCTTGGGAAGCCAAGTGCTTCCTTTAGACCTTGGCCTAGTCTACCTACCCTTCCATGCCTAATATGAAAATGCCTCCAAGCCCAGCCCATACCTCCTCCTCGTTTAAAAAGAATCAAATAAGTAAATATAAGCACTGGTCTGTTCACATTGCTTACATACGTCTACAGTATACTTCCTAAATGGTCAGCCTGATTATACTCGAATATTCCCATTGTTTATTCACTCATTGAATATGCCTTTAATTGTACTGAGGAAAAAAAAACCTATAGCTCTTATAGTTCAGTACCCTACTAGTCAAATATTAGTATATAATATACTATTAATAAGATTATTATACCGTAATTATGTAAATACCTGAAGAAATAAAATATTAGGCAAACTATAATCATAAAATTTACTCATGAGCTGTGATTTACCTCCAGTGAAGAACTTAATTTCTCTTTTTAGGAATCCTGAAACACAGAAAGTGTGGTGTGGAAGAAAGAGCAAGGGGCTCCTACAAATGTCTAGATTTGAATCCAGGTTCTTTCGAACTGCTACCTTGAGCAAGTCACGACCCTCACTGAGTCTCCGCTTCCTCATCACATATTTATTATACTTGCTATCATATTAAAATGTTTATTGGTTTATACATTTATCTTTACAGGTAGCTATGAGTTATTTGAGGAAAGAGGAATGTATTTGTATTCACCCTTTCAACCACCAAGCTTAAGGCACACAGAAACACTAAACAAATTGACAAATTTAATTTTTCTCTATTCATTTCATTAATGTTTTTCTTCTCCAGCTAGACTGTAAGCTTCTAAGGGCAAAAATCATGTATAATAATTATCCTGTATCACCCACACTGCCTAAAACAATTGGAGATATATATATATATAAATATAACAAATTCCAGAAGTTTTGTTGGTTTTAACTTAAGACAAAGTAAACAGTGACAGGTATAATCAACACAGTGTGCAGCTCTCAGCGGACTTTAGTCTTATAGTGCTTATGAGATACAAGATTTTGGGAATGGAGTTGGATTACACAATGGTCTTCTCAAAACTCAAATGTTTCTAAGAATTAGCAAGACAAATTTAAAGAAAAAACGTTACAGAGTTGCTATAGTCAACAGATGGGAACTCTAGTAAGAGTCTCTATAATGCCCTTTACTTTATTATCTGGAGCCAACTGATAGTTTTAAAAACTGCTTTTGGGCAAATATGAAAAGACACAGTATATTCTAGGACTTTCTTTAAATGGTCATACAGCAGAAGACATTCTATTATAAGTTTACTGTCAACTTTTTGTGACACATATAACTCACATGGGTTGAAGGCTGAAGAACCGATGAAAAGACAGTTTTATATTTATCCATTCATTCATTGAACCAGAATTCTTATTGGACACCTGCTATGTACCAGGTACTGTGATAGGTGCCGGGAGTACAATAATGGGACCACTACTATTTCTGGAACTTAGAGTCTAGTCCAATGCAGTAGCCACTAGCCACATATGACTACTGAGCACCTGAAATGAGGCTGGTCCAAACTCAGACAGGTTTTGAATGTAAAATACCCACAGGATTTCAAAGACTTAGTATCCAAAAATGAATGTAAAATTACTATTTTTGTATTGAATATATGTTGAAATGGTATTTCTGATATCCTGGGTGAAATAAAAATATTATTAAAATTAATGTCACCTGTTTTTTACTTTTTTAATATACCTACAGCAAAATTTAAATTTGCAGATCGCATAATATTTGTGATTGTTTGGCTTAATTTCTGGCTTCCATAATTTCATTATCTATGCAAATTAAAATGCTGGGTAAAGAGCATCTGATCGATGTTTGATAAATATTAAACATCTGTCAAGCATTCTCATAGTTGGGAGTCAAGAGATAACTCTTCTTTCTCTTTAGTTAGTAACTTGAGATTTTTTTTGTACATATTTATAGCCCAAGAGAAACTAATATATTAGAAAGCTAAATGTTCTTTTGAATAAATCATCGAAATCTGTGAGGGCCAATGCCACAGAGACTAAGAATTAATTTTCTTTTTTATGTATGTATGTATGTATGTATGTATGTATGTATGTATGTATTTTTAAGAGAAAGTGGAAGGGAGGGGGTGGGAGAAACATCAATGTGTGGTTGCCTCTCACATGCCCCACACTGAGGACCTGGCCTGCAACCCAGGCAGTGCCCTGACTAGGAATCAAACCAGCGACCCTTTGAGTTCGCAGGCCAGCACTCAGTCCACTGAGTCACACCACCCAGGGCTAAGAACTAATTTTCATTGTGTGGGACATAGCATAGGCTCATCAACCTTGACCAAAATGACATTGGGTTTTAGATTCTTTAAGTAGCTCTCTGAATTCTCCCCTAAATTTTCCACATGCAAACCTCACTTTCCTAAAAAGTACTTGCCACTAATCAAATCACCCATAGAATTAGGTTACCTGATTCAGGAATTCCCATTAGGAAATGTAGACATCAAAAATTAAAACGGAACTGATGTACTCAGAAGGGAACAGCCAGCTAAGGGAAAGTGCATCTGCGATGGCCATCTTCTCTTCCGTGTGCTTACCATGTCACAAACACTTGCTCTTCCCCCCAGGAACTTACAGTACCAAGGCAATGGGCTTTCGTTTCTGGCCCAAAAGGGGAAGCTGGCTGTCTGAGATAAGGTCACAGAGGGTTAGGTTGCTGCCAATGTTTTCACTGTTGCAGATCATATTGTAAGAAAGATTCCTTTACAAGATCCATATGCAAGTGTCTGAGTACTTTTGGAAGTAGAATTTCTGGGTCAAAGGAATATATACTTAAATTGTTATAGATGCAATATTGTGTGAGAGCCACATTGTTCTCCAAAAAGACGAACAATTTATACCCCAGCAATGGTGTATGGAAGTGCCTGTTTCTTCATGCCCTCTTCAACCATTTAAATTTGTGCCCATCTATTGGGTGTAAATTGGAGTCAGGTTAATTTGCACTTCCCTGATTTTTACTAGTTTACATGTTTATTGGCCTATTTGCATTTTTTTCTTTGGGAAACTGCCTGATCAGATCCCTTGCCCACTTTTCTATTGTTGGGTTGTCTTCTCACAGATTTGTAGAAATTACTTCTTTAATTTTATTTATGCTGTCTTTTAACATATGGAAATTTTGCGAATTGAATTTCTCAGTCTTTTCTTTTAAGGCTCCAAAACAGAGGAGGAAAAAAGTCTCCTTTGTTCTACATCTTATTTATCTCTGCATCATTATAAAATTATATTCTTATTTATTTCCAGTAATTTTATAGTTTTGATTTTTAAATCCAGAACCTAACTATATCTAGAACTTACTTTTGTATACTGTACAAGGTAGGGCTCTAATTAACAACAAAAGAGGATGGGCTGTTGTCCCAAACCACTCACGGAAAGCCACCCCTCCTACATTGAATTGCAATGGCACCTTTTTTATATACTAAATTGACATGTTCTAGAGTAGAATTAGGAAAATTCCAATATCCAGATCAAATCACCTTTTACACAAAATCTATTGCTCTTTAAGAATGCACACAATCAATATAAAGCAACACCATGGAATCTTCGATGTAAAGGCTTGCAAATAAAGTAGCACATACCATTTTTGCTTTAAGTCTATTACTTACGAGATGTAGCCACCTCTAGATTGTGCTATCAAACATTTGTTGAGGCCATTTAAAAAAATAAAACC